AATTAATTTATTCTTTACTTCTTTACTTTTTTTATTTTTTTTTTTTTTTACCTTCAATTTTTCAATTTTATCTAATTTATTTTTATTTTTTTGATTAAAATATTCCTATTACACTTATCTTCTTTTTTCATATTTCTTAAATATTAATTTTATTTATATAAAAAATCAATAAAAAACAATTTTTTTGAGATACTGATTGTTATTCAATATCTTTTTTTTGTAATTACTCACTTTTAATTTATATTTATTAATTTTAATATTCGAAAATTTAATAAGTTTCTTCAAGTTCTTTATTTCTTTTTTAAATTAATTATTTTTATTCCTATTATTTCTTTTTGTTTTTATTTCATTATTTTTTTATATTTCTTCATCAACTTTAATTTATTTTTCAAATAATTATTTATTTTATATTTTAATTTTATTTTCTAATTCTTATTAAGCAGTTTTTTTTTACAAAACTTCTATTTTTTTTTATAATTACTTATTTTTTAAAATTTTTTAATTTTTAATATTATTATATTCCTCTTTTTTTTTTCTTCTTCCAAACTCTATATTATTAATATAAATTTAAAATAAATTAAAAATACCTATTGTTTTTATTCCTATTTCTAATTTATTTTTGAATTATTATCCTTTATTTTTAAAATTATTTGTTCGTTTTAAGTATTTGCACATCTGCATCTTTCTTTTAAAACTTATTTTATTTTTCTTTATTTTATTTTTATATAAAAATAAAATAGGTTAAAATATTTCTTTAGAAATACTTTTATCTTTCCTATTGTTATTTTTCCTCATAAATAGCTTTTTCTTTTATTCTTTTTTAATTTTCGTCTAATTCTTTTTCTTTTTCTATTTATCTTTATTCTTATTATAATAATAGTTATTTTCTTAGTTTTTAATTATCTAAATTAGCTTTTTTTTATTATTTTAAACTTTCTTACTTTTATTTAGTTTCCTTTAAATTAAATAAGTAACTTTATAAATTGAAAAAAAAAAAAAATAGTTACTTTTTCTAGAATATCTCTATTTTTTTTTTCAGAAACTTTATCATAATATTTTTTTTTAATTTTTTAATATTTTCCTAATCTCCAATAATAAAAGCATCTTATAATTCAAGTAAATGATTTTCCAATTCTTAATCGAATTATTCATTATAATAATTCATTTTAATTATACTAAACAAAAAAATATTTTTATAATTTAAAATTATATATAATACTTTATAATAAAAAATAATTAATATAAAAAAGTGAATAAAATAAATATTTTCAATTTTATATGTAATTTGTTAATTTTTCATATTATAATTATATATAATTTATTGCATCATTTTTAATATCTTCAAATGCTTTTTTAGAACTTTAATAAAATTCACTTCCTGAATACGCTTAAAATCTTGAAATTCTTAAACCTGAAGATTTCATATGATTTCCTTTTGAATCTGTTCCATGCCAAGAAATATAAACCTTTTTTAATTATTAAAAAAGTATATGGATATATATTAAAAAGCAAATACTTTAGGATCACACTAAACAGAAGATATTTCGCATTCTTATTATTCTAAATAATTATTTTTTACTTGAATTTTTTCAATTTTTTAATTAGCTTCATATACAATTCTATTATCAATAATATCTTCAAATCCACATTTCTTTTTTTAAAAAAATTAAATAAAATTCAAATTTATTTTATACAGAATTATGATCATAGCAAGAATTGTCCCATTATACATTTTCAATTTTTCCATTATTAATAAATATAATTACGGAAAATAATGTATAAATTTAATTTTTAGTACTGTCATTTATATGCTTTTTTTGGAATATCTTAAAAGTAAATAATAATATTTATTTTTTTAATTGATTTAAAGAATAATTTTGTTTATCTTACTATAGGATATGTTCTTGCTATTGTATTATGTGCTTAAACTACTATATTACTATCTCCTTAGTCTTTCAGAAAGGAATAAACTAAAATATTTTAATTTTATTTACTATTTTTTTATATTTTAATAATACTTCCTTTTAAATGAATTCCTGTATATTTGTCTACTATAATTTCAAATATTGCTTTTTTATTTATTTAAGATAAGTGAACGCATATATTTACAGTATCTCCCTAAATTTCAAAATAAATTATTATATATTTAATTAATATTCTTTTTAAAAATTTTATGTAAAATATATTAACTCTTTCAAATTTTTTATCTAAATTATCTGAAGTACATTCGTATATTTATCTGCATAGTATTTTTATTAATATAAATTAAACAAAAAAATATTTATAATAGGCAGATAACATTAAATAATATATTATATATTTAATTATAAAATAAATTTTATAAAAAATTATAACAAATAATGTTTTTAATAAAATATTTAAATTCGAAAATTTCTATCTTAATTTATATTTAATTATTAGAAAAATATAAAAGTTTTTGATTTTATTTAATTTATATTAGTAATTATTAAAAATATTTATTAATATTTTTATTACTTTTCATTTACTACTAAATAAAAATTTTGGTTTTATTCTTTATTTATATAAAAAATAAACTTATATATGTATTTAAAATGTGTATTTGTTATTATTATAAAAAAAAAAAAATTAAGTATAATTTTTATAAATAGTATTATTTTATTTTACAGAATATTTATTGGATATTTTAGATATTTTATATAGCTTTTTTTAATTTTTTTTTATTATGATTTGATTAAATAAATAAAATTGGATATTTTAAAAATAATCACAATATCGGCAAACAAACAAAAATAAATATTAATCTTCTATTATTCATTAAATAATTTTATATTATCTTATTAAAAATTATAATCCAATTTTACAGTCTTATAAAAAATAAAAAAAAAATTGCTTTAAAGTTATCATTTCAATCCATTCTAAAAAAAAATAAAAGGAAGAAATATAAAAAATCATTAATATATATTTTCTATAAAAATTTAAATTTTTAGATTTAATTATTTTATATTTTTTATTTAATTAAGTTGATAATATTTTAATAACATATAAATCTAAAATTATAATTTAACTAAAATTTAAAGCATTCGACATTTATGTTTATCAAGTGTAAATAAATTTAGTTTACACATTTTAGAATGTTAATGTAAAGACTTTATTACTATATTTATGTTTTTAATTTTCTAATTAATATGATAATACTTATTATAAAGTTAAAATCAGTAAATTTAAATAAACTCTTATTTTTTAAATTTATTATGAAGTATAATTAATGATAATAAATAAATATTTAAAATAAAAATATTAAAATAATAATGTAGATATTATATTTTATATTATATATATAAATTTTTTGAAAAATAAATAAAAAAATTAATTTTTTTTTAATAAAAAAAAGAAAAAAAGAAAAAGAAATAATTAAGAAATTAATAACTAGAAACAAAAAATGTATATTTTATAAAGATTTTTGTCATTAAAAAATATTTTTATGTTATTAAATTAGGTAACCAAACCAATAAAATCGAGATTAATTATTATAAAACATATAAAATTAAATTTTAAACAATAATAAAGGTTAAGAATAGTATATGGAAAATCTTACATTTGTATAAATTAAAATATTTATTTGTATTTTTAAAAAAATAAAAAGGATATAGCTTAATAAGAACATTAAAAAAAACTAAAAGAAAAATTTACAGAATTAAAAGATGATATAAATTAAATGGGAAAAGGTAATAACTTAAAAAAATCAAAATATTTTTTAATTAATAATAATAATATTTCATAAAGATCCTGAAGTTTTTAGAGGTCATCAACTTCCTTTGGCAAGAGTAAAAAAAATTATGAAATCTGATGAAGATGTAAGAATGATAAGTGCAGAAGCGCCAGTTTTATTTGCAAAAGCTTGCGAAATATTTATTATCGAGTTAACACATAGAGCTTGGCTTTTTACAGAAGAAGGAAAAAGAAGGACATTATAAGTATAATATATATATATATATAATAATTATTTATATTAAAAAAAGAAAAATGACATTGCTGCTTGTATCTATAATACTGAAATTTTTGATTTTTTAATTGATATTGTTCCGAAAGAAGATGCGAAAGCTAATCCTTATATCTAAAATAACTAATAAGAAATATTTTAATCGATGAATCCTATTGGACCTGTATATTTAACAAAATAAATATTATTTAATAATTAACTATTTTTTTTTTTTATAAAAAAAAGAAAAATTTTATTAAAGACTTAAATAATATTAACTTAAATTAATTTTAGTAAAATTAATTTTTATCTCAATCTTTCATGAATAATATTTAATAAGGAAACAAGTAATGAATATATATTATATTTTATTCTAAAAAATCAATAAAATAGTCAAAGTAATAGTTATTAACCCAATCCTAATTATAATAAAGGATTTTAACCTCAAGATAATTAATTATTATAAAAAAATAAGTAAAAAATAGGTATGGATTAGAAAAAATGAAATGTAGTAATTAATTTTTTTAAAAAGAATATTTTTTTTTTTTGATAAAATATTTTTAAATTAATATAAATATTTTTAAATTTTAAATTTTAAGATTTTTAGTGAAAAAATATTTATGGATTTATAATAAATCAGATAATATAAAAATAACAAAATATTAACATAAAAATACATCTATATTATAAGTGATTTTTTAATTAAAACTATTTGAAAAAAAAATAAAAAAATATAAGCACAAAGTTTTTTCATTTTTTCTGTTCTTAAATCTTCATTGCTTCTTATTTTTTTAATTTGTTAATTAAATTTTAATAATTAATATCTAACAAAGCATTAACGTATAAAGGTACAGGCATCAAATACTTATTATTTTGTAAAGCTTGTTGAGTAATTAAAATTGATTTTTATAGTTAACCTTTATCCCCTAAATGCAACGTAAAGTTATATAGTAAAATACCTAAAAATATAAATTACATTAAATTAAATAATTCGTTAGTATCTTACTTTCTGGCTCTTCGGTATATGATTTAATTGTCAAAGCCCTTTCATACAAAGAAATTGCTTTTTAAATTGAACCTTATCTAGAATAAGATTTTGATAATTTTTCTAAAATGAGTCCATCTTATTTTTTATTTAATTAAAATTATAAATCTATAAATACTTATAGGATGGTTTTAATCTATTATTTATTATATATCAAAAGCCTTTTGAAAGCTTTCTATTGAGTTTTATATTTCATCGTTTTAAAAATATACAATCCCAAAACTCATATAACAATCAACTACTATTTATTTTTTATTTTTAATAAATAATATTATATTATATAATAAAAACAACATTAAGGATCATATTTTTCTGAAGGATTTAATTCTTATAAAATATTTATTGCTTCTTAAATATTTTGTTTTGAAGAATATATTTTTCCTTAAGTCCCTAAAATTTTTCCTTTAAAATTTAGTATTTAAGCATCTGTTTTAAAAAACTTAAAAATTAGATAAATTTATATATTTTTACATTCTCTACTATTTATATTATGCACCTTATTAGCTATATTTTAAGCTTTTATTAGATTATCTAAAGCTTCTGCTTAAGAACCTATATGTCTTAAAATATCAGCTTTCCACATATAATTAAGTGCCACTTTTTTAGTTTAATATTTAAAAATATAGTTTTTTGTTTATATATTATATTATATACAAGTTATGTCTTTTTATTTTATGTATTAATTTTTTATATTAATACTTTCATTTATATAATAAAAAGCTCTTTCATATTAGTTTAATTTAATCCAGCAGATACATATTTTTTATAAAACCTATGAATCTTATTTTTATTTTTATTTTTAAAAATATAAAAAATAATGAAATTTTTTACATAATATATAATAATTTTCATCTTATTAATTAATTTTATCTGTATATTAAAGTGCTGTAGTATATTTTTAAAGAGCTTGTTTATATTATCCTAAAGAAGCAATAAGGTTTCCTTTAGTTAAATAAAATTTACTATCTTTTTTGTTAAAAATAAAATATGAATAAATTAAAAAAAAAAAATACATAAAATAGGTTCGTCATCATTAAAAAAATTTTTAAGAATTCTTTTAGATTCCACAATTTCATCATTGGCATGTAAATAATCATAGTAATCAATTAAAACATTAGCTAATTCAAGCATAATAGTAACTTTTTTATCATTATTCTATTTAATTTTTTATTATTAAAAATAAAAATAAAAAAGTACTTTAAAATTTTTCATATCAAGAACTTAAGATCCGAAAATATATTTTAAAACATATAAAATTTAAGAAAAGCAAGGCCTTTTATGAAAAGTGGAAATTATAATTTCTTTAACAATCATAGATAAGCTTTAAATAATTTTATCTTCAATAATAATTGAGTTTGCTGCTTTCATACAAAGTACGTTTTTTTCTTTAAAAAAGTTAATGTTTTCAATAGAACAGCCTTTACTTTTTTTTTTAATAATTTCATCTAACTTTTTTATTATTTCTTATAAAGTTTTTTCCTTAGTTATAAGCATTGATATTATTATTGCAGTCATAAAAACGCTTGATTTTTCTAAATTATCTTAACTATCTTCTACTTCTTAGTTATATGTTTACTTTTATTTAGCGAATTCGGGAGGAATTAAAACATCATTTTTATCCCTATTTTCGAATCCGTAAAAATCAAGAAGATCCATAACTTACAAGGTGTTATTTTCATCTGTATTTATCATTAAATTAGATAATTTCCAATTTATTAAAGGTATGTTCTCACTTTTGCATATTCGGCCTATTTCAAATATTTAAATTGAATAAGCTAAAATTTCAAATCTGTCTATTTCTTATGTATTCTCGAATACTTTTTATAAAGAATTTAAACTCATTTGATATATTATATATACACATTGAAAATTTTATACTGCTTAATTTCTTTAAAGTATTGATTTATTTGCTTTTTATTATTACTCATTCATTTAGAAATTAATTAGCTTATGCGGCTTTTAAAATTATGTATGAGTTAATGATAAACGATATTAAAATTCATATGATTAGATTACTTTTTTTGATTTATTTTCACTCATATTTAGAAATTTTTTTACTACAAATGCTGAGTTTGCCTTTTTAAAATTTTTTTATTTTATAGTTTTTTTTTTTACTGAATTATAATATAGTTAAGTAGTGTATTCTTCAGATTACCTTAAAATCTATTTAGAAGGTTTATATTATTTCTCAAATTATTAAATTGTCAAACGAGGTATTGTTTATAATTACTATTGATCAGGTTAATCAGATTAATGAAGGTTCGAATTATTTATATGACATGAGCATTTTCTTATGTATTCTAATTTTTAGCAGTTGATAAAAGAAGTTAATTCGGATTAAAGCTCATCAATTTGTTATATTTTTTAATTTTATTTTTACACTTATTTACGCTTTTTGTGTGAATATATATTTAATGTTTTTTTTAATTTTAAAATTATAATTTATTAAAATTGGAAATAATAAAGTTATTTAAGTTTATTTTGTATAAAGTATAATAATAAAAAATATTTTTATTAATATATATTAGTTTTTTTTTTTTTTTTTTAAATATAAATTAATAAAATTAAAGGTAATTCTTTTAAAAATTCAAATTTTTCCTTCCATTTTATCAAACCAGATTTCAAAATCTTTATACTTAACTTAAAATCCTTTTTCGCCTAAGCTTGTACTTGATTTTTATTTCGAGTATCCCTATTTAATTTTAAATATATATAGTTATTATTAATATAATTTTATACAGAAAGTAAAGAAATTTTGCTTTTAATCTCTTCTCCAGCATTTTCAAAAATTTAGCAAAAATCTTAAAAATTCAATTCTTAAGAATTAATGCTTTTTTCTATCAAATCCTCTATATCAATAGTTAAATCGAATTCTTTTTTTATTATTTCTATTATTTTATCTTTATTAACAAATCCACTTTTATCTTAGTTTCCTCCTAGAGCAACAAATGCATCGACTTATTAATTTTTTATTATTTTAAAAAAGAATATATATTTTAATTTACTATATTCTATTTCTTCTTATTCTTATAATAGCCTCTCTTCATTTTTTAAATTTAAAAATATTTAGCAAACATTAAGAAAATCAATTTTTCTGAGTTTTTTTTCCTAGCAATATTACATTATTTTTTTCTTCACTATATGTGGAGGAAATTTGAATTCATATTCTTTTTTTAATATATACATATGTATAATTAAAGAATAATAATAGTTTTTTTTTAACATTTTAACACTTCATCTATTTCTAAAATATCTATTGAGTTGACATTTATAGGATCAAATTTTTTAAATGCGTGTCTTAAACTTTCAGCATCTTGTTTTTATATCTCCAAATCTTTTAATACTTAGTTTAGAATAGAATCAACTTAATATAAAACAGATTATCTAAAAATTATATTTATTAAATAATTAATTAAAAAACAAAATGATAAATTTAAAAATAAAATGATAAATTTTTATTATCAAAATAATGTATTGAAGATTTAAATATTAATATTTATTTTTTAATTTAAACCTTTTTCTAAGAACATTTGCTATGCTTGGTCGGGCTGCCATATTTTTAAATAGTTATATTTTTTATAATAAAAGTAAGAGTTTATTTATTTATTTAATAAAAATAATTTTATTTATATTTATTAAAAAATTATATTTTTTGAAAATAATTTTATAAAATTTATTTTTTTATAATTAATTAATATTTAGTTAGATTATAACAAAAGTTAATTGAGAATAAATTATATAATATTATACTAAATATAATTTTTTAATTTTATTGATATAATTTAAAATAAATAAATAAATTATTATTATAATAAATAAAATAAAAATAATTTCTTATTTATATATATATTTATATATAATTCAATATATTATTTTATTTTTGTTTAAAAAAAAATAATTTCTTATTTTTATTAGTTTTTTTTTTAAAAAAAAAGATTATTAAAAATAAAAAAAATTATAAATAAATAATATATTAAAAATGAAAATAATATAATTTTCTAATTTTTATTTTATAAAAATTATATTTAATTACATAATTTAATATTCTTTATAATTAACTTTCTAGTTATTAAACTAAGAAACTATTTATATAATATTTTCTATATATTTGATTTAACTTTATAAATAAAAGATTATAAATTTTAATTCTCAATTATTTTTATTTATTTTAATTAAGGAATATATTATTAATATGCCAATATTTATAAGGATTAGTTTTTTGCATAATGATTTTATAAATATTAATTTATATTAAAACATGTTAAAATGTAATAAATATGTTTTAATTTACAATTATAAATATCCTATTTAAAAATTCATATATTTTAATAAAAATAATTTAAATCTTTTTTAAATTAATGGATAAAGTTTAACTTCATTATTACATATATGTACATTTATGTAAAAAATCATTAGATTTTTTAAAATATGTATTAGTTTAAAATTGGTATATCAATAAAAGTTTCTTAAAATTATGAAAATCATTTAAATTTTATAAAAATAATTATTATTAAATATATTTTTATTTTTTTCATTCTTTTCTACTATTTTTATATAAATCCTGATTTAAATAAATTAAATAAATATTTTTCAATTAAAAAATATATATATTTTTTTTATAAATAAATTAATTTTTATAAAAATTTCTTAATTGATAATTTTTTTTTCTTTATATTAAATGCTTTTAATTATAAAATTATTTTATTTTTTCAATAAATTAGATGTCTTTAACAAATAAAAATTAATTATTTGCCTGCAAATGTGGACAATCATATGACAGATTAAGTTCTCTTTATAATCATATCTAGAACAAGCACAAAGATTCTAAAGAAGATTATATATTAAAAAGGGATCGAGGTAGACCAAGAAAGATTTAAAAAATAGATTAAACAATAGAAATAGATAATCATTTTTTAAAATAAAATATAGAAATAATATAAGAGTTATAGCAACAATATAAGAAAAAGCAATCTATACAAGAAAACTAAAAAGAAGCTGTACAAAAGTATATATTTAAAAAAGTAAAAAATTCTTAAAACTTTTCGGAGATGATTTTTATGAAAAAAATAGCAAAAGTTTTGATTAATTATTAATGGAAATAATAAATAAATGTTATTAAATATTTAAAAAAAAGGATTTGCTTTAGTTATGTCAATATTATATACTCTCTATTATTAAAATTAAATAAAATATTAAAATTGACTTTCTAGATTTCGGCTTTAAATTTATAAATTTTAAATTGTACAAATTTATTTATGAATCCATAATTAAGCAAGAATAAAAAGAAGAAAATTAAAATTATAATTTTCCTAAAATAAATAATTTAATTCAAGAATAATAGTCTAATAATAAAAATGAAAACAACAACATCATTATCAACAAAAATATGAACAATATTAATAATAATAATGATATTAAAAATGTAGAAGATAAAAATATTGAAAATAATAAACCGGATATTAATAAAATTAATAATAAAAATCTTAGTAATAATAATCCTGGTTTTAAAAAATATGATAATAAACTTAATTTGTAAGATATCCATATTCAACAATAAAAAAATAAGGTTGAAAAATAGTAACCTTTATTTGCGAATCTTAATACTTAATATTAAAATACTTAAAACTGTAAAATTGAATAAATAAAAAAAGAAAATTTAAACTAAAATTCAAATGAAATAAATAATTCAAGTTAAGAATGTTAATCAAACGAATCTAATAAATATGAAAATTAATTAAATTTAAATAACTATTAACTTAAATTAAATATTCCATAAGATTAATATATTTTTTAAGATTTATAAAATAGTAATAATAATTATCTGAATACTTAACTAATTTAAAAACAATAGTTTTTTCGTGAAGATTTTTTAAATTTTTATCCAAATCAATTAAACCTTTTAAACTAAAATTATTAATTCTAAAATTTAACAGACTTTATTAATTATAATCAATTAAATCAATAAGATTAACTTAATTTTTTTTAATAAGGATTTTAGCAGTTTTAAGATTTTAGAAATATTTGATAAACAAAAAATAAAATAATTTTATTAAATTCATGTTTTTATTTTTGTATTTATTAATGAAAATATCTTTAATTATATACCATCTTAATTTTCAAAAAAATATTTTTATTTTTAAATGTATTAAAGTATTGCTAAAATAAAGAAGATTCATTAAGAAAAAGAAGGAAGAATTCAGAATGTTATTATAAAGATAATACAAATAAATTAATATAAATTAATTTTTTATATAATTAATTATATAGATTTTGAATTTTAAATTATATGCAGTAATTAAAATAAATTTGATTTTTGTTGAGTTCATTAAGTTTGATATTTTAGATTAAAAAATTAAAAAAACGGAACTTTTTTAAAACAAATATTTTTAAAATTTATAAATAATATATAATCTGAAATTTCATGCATAGCATGCTAAAAGCTCATATTTAAAAGAAAATTTAACAACTACTTATAATTTACATCGATGGACTTATGTCTATTACTTTTTAGAAATGTTATGGATTTTATAATATAATAATAGCTTAAGATAATACCAAGAATATTCAAATTAAAATAAACTATTGAAGATATATGAAACAATATTCCTTTTTTTACTAAACCATCATCCACTCATTATATTAATGTAAAATTATTATTATTTTTTTCAAAAAATTAAAGAATATAGCTCTGAACGATAAAATAAATATATGTGAATTATTATTATTAAAAACATTTATAATCTGTATTTCATTTTTTAAAAGAAATTATAATTAATTTTTATTGCTTTCTATTTAAGATATAAAATAGAATATTAATATTTTAAAAAATATTATTTTTTTTTGGAAAAATATTCTATAAAGTTTCTTTATTTTATATTTGATATTTTTTAATTTTTAAGGGTTTAATGTTTTAAATTAGATTATGAATTAGAAAAAAGTCTTAAACTTTTTAATATTATAGATAATCCATTAAGAAATAATATATTGCATTTTTTATTTATGTAATATTAATTAAAATATAGTTTATATAATAAAAATAATAATTATTGCATTTTTTATTTAGAAATATATTTTTGATAAATTTATTAAAATCAAAATTATTTTTTATATATGTATTAAAATAAAAATTATATCTATTTATTTATTATATAATTTTATATGCAAAATATTTTTTTCTTTTTTTACTTTAAAATTTATTTTTATTTTGATTGCAAAAAAAAAAACACTAAATAAAAAAAAAAAATTAAATATATAAAAAAAAATATAAATAAATTTCATTTAATTTTATTTAAAATCAAATAATCCATTTTAAAAATATATTAATTGTTATTTTTTTGTCATATATAATATTTGTATTATTAAAAATTGTAAATTAATCCTGTAAAAGATAGTATTTTTTATTTTAATATTTTAAATTAAAGTTTTATTATTTGATAAAATTAAATTCATACTTTAATTTATTTATTTAAAATAAAATATGTATATATCAAAGATTTTCAAATTTTATATTTATTTAAACTAAAGCGAACCAAACTTATTAAATTACTAAACATAATATAAGTAAATTTTTTAATTAAAGATTACAGTAAATAAAAAAACTTTATCTAAATTTATAAATTAAAACTAAATCAAATTTATTTTATAAATTAATTATATAAAATCTTAATTAAGCCCATAAATATTTATTTAGATTACTTTTATTAGCAATAGTAATTTCTTCTTTTAACAAAATAATTTTTTATATGATTTTTTATGTTTTTTATTTTAAAAAACTGCAATATAATTTGACATTTTTAATATTATTATTTTTTAATTTGAATTGTATCCTGTTAATCCCAAAAAAAAATTAAATTTTCAAATAAATTGAAAATGGTGGAGGGGGGGTGGGTATTAGATTTAATAATCTGAGGCAATATTTATGAAATAAATGTGTATTATTTATTAAATTTGAAAAAAAAAAAAAATCTATTATTTAATTAATTAATTTCTCAAGTAAAATTAATTAATTGAATATAAATAGATTTTAAAAGTTAAAATTTAATATTATTTTATTTTTGTTTAAAGATAAGACAAAAGTTTACGTTTTTTATTTTGAAAATTAATAATTAATTTATTATATGTATATTTTTTAGGGTTTGAAGGAAAAAAATACATATAAAAACATTTTAATATTAGTAAATAAAAAATAAAAAATATAAAAAATGCAACAACAAGAAATAATTTAAAATTAACAAAACATTGAATAAAAATAAGAAAATAATTAGAAAACAGAAAGAACGCCTTTAGTAAGTAATTAAAATGAAAATTTTACTGAATAATAAAG